CACTGGTATCCACCTGATGGCCAATTTTGATTTAGTCGGATTAAGTTAGTTGAATAATTTGCAGTCCAAGTATATATGCACGGACAAGTTTAAACGTTAAAACCATTAAATAAGAATTAGGATGACGATTCATTTAGTATTGCTCTAGTTACCGCTACAGACATTGTGATTGCCTTCTTCAGGCTTTTTGCTCAAGTTTCTTTAAAGCTTTCTTTATTTTTCAAATTTTTATAAAGTTCTAAAATTGTTCAAAATATTAACCTTATGATTAATTAAATGAAGATGATAACAATCATTTTATATCCTCTAATGTTCAGCATGAATGTATGCATTTAAAATATATTACAATTGCTCAAGGTATTTAAATTTTACTAGATTATAAACTTAAATAAATTATGATGTGAAAAAGAAAAGAATATAGATTATTTTAATACAAACTACCTTTTAAGATACATGATAAAAATATCAATAATTTTAATTAGCAAGACTTTTAACACTATCAATTTTATAATTCATTTAAAATTTAGGTTTAATCAATTAAGAAGTCTGTTCTCTAACGATTTTGGGTTCAGAACTCAAAGCAATTTTTAATAATTCTAAATTCCATTGAATAACCTATTGCTTTAATTCATATTGATTTAATATTTTAATTTTAATTACTTATATTTCTTTTGACTCTTAAAATTGCTGATTTTACATAGTTAACATGAACTCAATAAGCAGGTTAAGTTATATATATATATATATGATGAGAAGCGCTTGGAACCTGGTTTTAAACTCTCTCACAGATTCAATAAACAAGTAATGTTATACTTCATGATCTTCAGTAAAAAAATATTTTTCTGACAGTAATTTTTTTGTTACATTATTTATAAATTCTTATGAATAATTTGTTGCTCATTATTCGTATGTAAACTAATAAGTTGTTGCTCTGAAGGATTGATTCAAATTAGAACTTTAAACAAGAAAAAAATATTTTTCAATTAGTTAGATTTACATTGTTTGGACTTTTGAACCATTTTTATCTACAATTTCATAATAATATAAAGGAATTATTGTTCCATTTGTTTGATGAATGGTTTGTAGAGTTGTGAGAGACAATGAAGCAACTGAATTATCCTTTTGGCAGCAGAAAATTGATTAGTGTCATGGTTAGCGAAATCTCGATTTACACTAGGAATTCTTGTTATTTAGGACAGTCTTGATCTTCTATTAGTTCTTGTTTTTCCTCTGGTTTCTACTCAAAATTCTTTGAACATACAATATTTGTTGCTACCTTTGAGGAGTAAATTGTATAGATTTTATTCCTAAGTTGCACTTTTTTTATGGATCAGTATGCTACATTTTTAGGGGCTTGGGTTCTACAGACATTTGATTATTGGCTGCTCAGAATAAGAATTTGGTATTTAAACTCGAAAGTTAAATTATTTTTCCTCATTTGGGGATCTCAGGATAAGAATTTGGTATTTAAACTCGAAAGTTAAATTATTTCTCAACTTTTGGGGATTGATGTAAAGTTGGAATCATATGATCCTATGACGATCACATCTACCAACTTAGGGGATGAGAAGTCAATAAATATAATAATATATAATTCAAGGCATATAATTCAATGACTTTCATTGAATTTTTTTTTTCTTTTTAGTTTTTAAATTTGAGAATCTTGTAAGTATGACTATCAGATTACGAGTAAATTCTTCTTATCCGGCCGACATGATGGTCAAATTTTTTGTAGTTTGAAAATTTTTGTTCCTTGTACTAATTTAGTTTATATAATATGATGTTTGTTTATTAGTACTCTTGAATTTGCTCAAATTTAGCAACTAAAAATTTATTTATGATAATTAAATTGCAAATATATATGAATAAATGACGCAGAGATGATCACTTAAAAGCCTAATTTTACCAACATATTTCACCGTCTCTGATACCAAATTAATGCAAGCTAAGGCTTTGATATCAAATTGATGCAACCTGAGGCTCTAATATAAAGTAAAACTCATAAAATCTACCACCCTCAAAACAACCAGGTATGATTACCTCACATGCAAATCACAAAATAGAGAAATGAGCTCAAAAGAAAGGATAAATCAAAGATCCACCACAGACCAATGATCCTCAAGCAAAAACTAATAGAATAGGGCACAACACACCATACAACTCACAATATTTAGAGAAGAAATATACATGTGGAAGGGAAACCGTAGAGAGAAGTAGAAAGAAGACCGAGACGAAGAAGCAGCGGGAAGGTAGAAGACATGCTTGCAAGCTCATAAGAAACCCTGAGTTTTTCTTTTAAAAATTGAAGAGAAGAAAGATACAGGTAGAAGGAAAACCGTGGAGAGAAGAATTAGAAAGAAGACCGAGACGAAGTATCAGAGGATAGGAAGAAGACTAGCTCGCAAGCTAAAAACCCTCAGGTTTACATTTGTTTTCACCAACCACAACAATCTTTTTCCAGTAGTAAATCAGACATATTATATAGGAGAAGGGGGAAATGATCATAAATTGCTCACATAAATGTGCCACCAAAATAGCCAATAGAAGCCATTCAAGATAGCCCACTTAATGAGAAGTTAAAACACTTAGTATATAAATCAACAAAGAAGGGATCTGAACAGCCGGCAGCTGGGAAAACCGAGAGGCAGCAGGGAAAACCGAGAGATAGCAGGGTAACTGTGAGCCAGTAGCGAAAACCAATAGCAGGGAAACCAAGAACCATTAGGGAAACCAAGAGCCAGAAGGCAAGGAAACCAAGAGCCAACAGGAGAACCGAGAGCCAACAGGTAGGGAAACCAAGAGCCAGCAAGGACATCGAGTGGACAGCAGGGAATCCACGCGGACAGCAGGTAAAATGAAAAGCCACAGGAGAAAAGGAGCAAAAAAATACAAGTGGAAAGGCAATGAAGTGTACTGGCCTGAGAGCATCAAAACCAAGCATGATCACGAGTTGTTTTTCCATCATATGGCAATACAAAAATAAAAAATACATAGTCCAAAATTACAATGGTTGTGACATAGAACAATAAAAAAAACATTCAAATAATCTTTGAACATATAATATCTCAGAACCTACAACAACAAACAACAACATCAAGAATTTCTCCCACTAAACAACAACATCAAGTTTTTCTCCCACTAAACAATAACATCAAGAATTTCTCCCACTATCTAAAAGTTAAATTCTCATTTAAATCTAATAAAGAAATGTCATTTCTAATATTTTCTAACAAAATCTTTTTAGGTCTACATCTATATTTCTTAACATAAGTCAAATCTAATACATCTACTTTCTTAAACGGGTCATCGAAAGGACGTCATTTTATGTGACCAAACCATCTAAGAAAACTCTCTCTAATCTTAGCTTCCACCGGAGCTACTCAAACCTTTTCACATATATGTTCATTACATATCATGTCTCTAAGAGTAAAGCCACTCATACACTCGAGCATCCTCATCTCTGCAACACTTAACTTAATATTATGCTTCTCTTTTAAAGGACAACATTTTGCACCATAAAGTATTGCAGGTTTAACCACCATCTTATAGAATTTTCTCTTAAGTTTGAGGGGGACTTTTCTATCACACAACAAGCCCAATGCATTCCTCTACTTCAAAAATCCAACTTGAATTATACTAATAATATCCAAATATATTTCATCATCACTTTGAACAACATATCCAAGCTATCTAAAACGAGTATTCTTATTAATGACTTGATCACTCAAAGTTACATCTCCCCAATAGAACTATTGTTACTAAAATTACACTCAATATATTTAATTTTAGATCTACTCAAACATAAGCATTTAGACTCTAAGGTTGACCTCACTAATTCAAGTTTACCTTCAACTCCCTCTCTAATCTTATCAAATATTCTACTAAAGCATCTCAGAACCTACAACTATAAAAATTCAATTCAGTCTTTGGTCCCATTCCTCTATTTACTAAAAGATGATTAAACTGAGTCACATTTTTTTCTGTTCCAGTGATATTTGAGTCCAGTTCACCTCAGAAGAATGGAACGTCCATAAGTTGAATTTCTTTAAGAGATAAAGCCACTTTAGTTCACAAGACATATTGTAGACACTAAGAGCTTTTGATATATACAAGACATAAATATCATCTGCACTGGATGAAAATATCTAAACAAGCAGTCAATAGATAGGGAAGGCTTGGATGATTTCTTTTTTGTCCTAACCTTTTAATTTGGGGTGGAGATATAGGGTGAGCGGGGCTGTTAAGGTGATTTCTTTTAGTTTAATATTCATTAAAAAAAATGTGTAGCAAGTTAATTTGGATCAAATCTAGTTTCTAAAATGCACTAAAAATGCAAAGAAAAGTCAATGCCAGCTGAAACACGCATTGGAAAGAAGATACAAGTTAATTCAATTATGGCATCGTAAAAAATTTACTTACTGCTTCAATAAGCATTTGCAGTTCAGACTCTACAAGCGAGGAACCAAATTTTACAAGTCCATTTTTGAGCTCCTCGCAAGAAATAATGCCATCATTGTCAGTGTCCATCATCTTAAACTTACCTTTCATATCTTCAACTTCTTCAGTGGATAAGTGTTCAGCAATAACCTATAAAGAAAACAATTTTATTAGAGCTTGGAAATGATTATGAAGAAATGTTTAAAATTCAGTGAGTGTGAAAGACCAAATAAGCCAAAAGAATCAAACTAACCCGTAAAGCTCTTCTTTTAAACCTATTCATCCTTGTGAATTGCTTTAGCCTTGATTTGACAACATCACCAAGAGGAACATTTGGAGCTTTCTTAGCATTTTGAATCCAAGGATGTTCTGTTGAAGAAGGGAAAAATTTAGTGATTGGCGCATTCTTCTCACAGAAAGTTCAGCCATCATCATGATCTCAAAAGGTTGTAACTAAAAACCTTCACCAGCAACACATCACATCATGAAAAACAAACTTAATTTCTGGATAATGTATTCAAGTATTCCAGAAAAAAAGGTTAAAAATATCAACTGCTCTAATCACAGAAGAGTATGACTTTCTTATGAAGTATACATGCACCTTGAGGAGACCTACTTAAGAAGATGGATTCAAACAAGTAGCCCAGATATATGCAACGAGTAAGTTACAGCACTACTACAAGGAAATGAAAGGTTTGAATCCAAACCAAACTAAAAGAAATTACACCGTGTATCCCAATCACACAAAAATGGCATGATCTGTAAGATTAATGGTCTTAAAATATGGGTAGCCAACCAAACTTACAGCTTGAAACTGTGATCTATAAACAAGGATTTAATTTTACATTATTATATGCCCTCATATGCTAGTTAATCTGGCTAACAAGAAATGAACTAATTGACTAACAGAAATTCAAGATCAATCAAAATCACTAGTTGATTGAAAATCAAACCGCAATCATTAAACCTATATTGTATGAGTTTCACCAAATCCAATTGCCAAAGAAGAAAAAAAACTCAAACTACAGAATAAGAAAAAAAAAAGAAAAAAAGACCTAGGCCTCACAATAGCATAAAAAGATGACTTCCCCTGAAATTTTAAAGCGCTAGAAAGAATTACATCCAATTAAAAATACATTCAATCAAAATAGAAATCAAGTGGAAATATTCTCTGCATGCCTTAGATGCCCTTATTTATAATCAAAGGATCCCTCATCAAATAACACAAAATATCCAAATCAAGATAACTATCATAATCCCAAAAAAATCGCTAAAATCCTTGAAATAAACTGTCACAATTAGCTACAGTACCCAATTGCAAGAGAAGAACGAAACAAAGCAGCACATCAAGTCAGGAGAATAGGACCAAAGTAGCAACTACAATATCAAAAAACACGGTCATGCTGTATAAAAAGAAAAGCACAAAACTTGCAATAACCCAAAGAGTGCGCATCAATTTGATCGGTTTGAAAGTTTTTTGGCTTCAAAGAATTATTCAATTGATATTTTGCATGCAAGCCTACTCATAATTGTTGCCACAAATTACAGACAAATCCCATAACCAATATTAATTAATCTACTTGACTTAAAAAAATAAATGCCAATAAATTGTTTAGTTGAAATTTGTCAAACAAATTTAGTTATAATAGTTGCACTCAGTGGCAAAGCCAAAAATTTCTTTAGGGGAGGTCCAACTTCAACCTTGCTTCCAAATACATATATATGTGTATATATAGTTGCTGAGCAAGACCAAAAAGATTAATAACAGCATAAAATCACGGTTTGATATATGTTAGGTAGCAGGAAAAGGTAAATATGTTGTTAACTTTTTGGTTGATTTCTAATTGGATAGGTACGTCTCTAAGCCTTGAAAATTTCCTTTCGATTCAATGTATGATATGAATTTTAGAATCTTGTTTTAGTAGTTAATTTCTTTAATGTAAAATTTTGGAGGGGGCACGTGCCCCACTAGCCTCTCTCTCTCTCTCCGCCAAGGATCATCACAAGCAAGCTTGCAGATTAGTGCACAAGATATCTTTCATATCCACCATTAATAGTTTACAAAAGTTTAATCATCTCATATCATTTCAAGTGCAAGGTTTGATGCTATTTGGAAGAGTTTTGAATACATATTCCAAAAAAAGGATTAAAGATAGAGTCCAATGCATTGATGGTAGGTTTATGAAATAAAGTCAAATAAAATATTGAAGGATAACTAAATATCAAAACTTTACAAAAACTTTAAAATGATAGGCATTTGTCTCAGTGTATTGCATGCCTAGCCTTTCTAGCAATTATTTTCTTAAAAGCTTTGGAAGGGAAATTTTTACAATGACGGTAAATTTGAAGCAGTTGCAGTTATTTGCAAAAGTGGTGTAAGTGGTGTAGAGCTACACAATAGGAAAAGAGAAATTTTTTTTAAAGCTATTTTGTACATTATAAATTTAAGTCAAATAACAGCTTTCAAACAACTACCACACTCTAATAAATCTAATTATAAAAAGTTACCTCTCACCACAAAAAAAAATTGGAAAGCAACAAGAAAATAATAGATACACAACAATGTAATAGCAGTCTAAAAAGCACACAATGAAAAATCCCATATAGACCCTAGATGGATCATTATCTCATTACCTAGTTTAAACTCAACATATCTTCTATTTACATTAGCAATAGAATTATAATTAATATATTTACTAGTCAATTGTTTTTGTGAATATATTCAAGAAAATGACTAATGATAAATGCAATATAATGTGAGGAAATTAATAAAAATATTAAAATACCAAAATGCTTCTTAATGAATAATAATAAAGAAAAACAAATTTTTAGAGGAAGAAATGATGAAAAAAACATAAACATGAATAAATTACATAAATATGATATGTTTATAAAAATAAACACTCATTAAAGAGAATTAATCCAAATAGTTAAAATATTAGCCGAGGTGAATGATGTAAATTTGAATTCGAACAGATAAACTAAGCTTTAAACTTCAAGGTTCTTTTGAGGCAATTGTAAATACAGTCATCGAAATGTTGATATAATTTAACTTTCTCCTTAAAAATATTTTTTTAATATATAAATAGAGAAACTACGAATGTAAAAAACTTTTAATTTAAACATTTATCATAAAATTATATCAGCAAATAATGTTGCAAGAATTACTTTATCAATTTGCTCTATAGATCCATCGACTGTAGTATGACATGATTTGTCTAATTTCACAACCATGAATACATTCCATTTCTGTAAGAAGTTTAGGTTTAAATAAAATCACATAATCAATTTTAATTTTTAATTTTTGACTCTTGTTCAAGAATAGGCAAGTTTAAACATGTTTTAATATGTGTATATTCATATTTAATAAAATCATATATATATTAATATTGAAGCTATAAATCTTCTTTCGCATCTAATTCATAATTTAAAAAAAAAAACAATCTAGGTAACTACAGTTTCTTCAGTAGGCTGAACTCAACCATATAGAAGCCAAATATTAGTGTTGGGTTTGGCAAGCAGTAGCATAAATGCTAATGGTTTTTCTTCTAAAAAATTAATCAGAATTTATGTAGTCCTAAAAAGACAACAATTGTACCATAGTCGTCTTTTGTATATGTTAAATTAATCATGTGATTGGTCCCTATATTCACTAAATGAAAAAAAAAATTTCCTTAAAATTATGTTTTACATCAAATCTATAGATCCAGCAATAAAAGTTCATCTTTAATATTAACGGTGTTGCCTGTAGCGAAGGTGACAGGCTGGAGGTTAAGGAAATCGAAAGAAAGTTGTTGCAACTCGGAGGTGCATGAAGGTGTGATTTGTTCGGTGCTTTACTTTAGGATTTATGTAGGTTTTAAAATATATATATATATAAATAGGGTAAGGCGTAAGCTTCACACCAACGAGGCGAGGCACATTTATCAATGATGGCAATTATAACGTAGTAATTAATGAAATCGAAAGGAAAATGCTAAGATACAATTGATCCTAAATTCAAGAGGAGGATCTATCCCTCCCAACTCTTTAGACGCAGCTAGAGCCCAAGAACATCTAGAACCAACAGAATTCAGCAAATACAAAAGATAACTGTAGCACTAAAGCACCCCCTTCTACTTAAAGCATACAATAATATGTCCAAAGACTAAACAACCCTCCGCTAATTCAACATACTAAAAATGCAAGTCACGCCAACAAAGAGTTGTTACAAGCAAACATAAGAACCACCAATACCCAAAAGAGTTCGCATCTTTTAGCCAATAACTAAAGAATAAAAGTCATTATTAAAAATCATGTCACATAAAATCCAAAACTAACCATGAGTTACTTAAAATTTCATTTATGTCAATAACTTGGTGACTACCATGATATGATTTATTCCATACAAGTAGTATTAATGAAAATTCAAAAGATATTGAGAGTGGTAATTTCACAATAATTGGGCAAATGTTCCTTTTTGAATTAAAATTATAATAAATAGCAAACATCTCTTTTATCCAACTGATAATCTGATATTATATAAAAAATTATATAGAAAACTTGGTTCAAGCTAAGTCAACTCAACCCACTAGGTATCAACTAAAAACAACTCACCAAGTTCACAATTGAACTCACCTCATGCAAGCAACTAGACCCTATGATGCAGCGATACACCTTCATAAGAAGGCCTGAAATATCGAACATGGACACGTGCATGGCATGGTTGGGATACATGTCAGACGTGGCCAAACCGCCAAAGCATTTACGATTAAAATAATATGTAAATGGGAATGGACACGTCTCCTAATATTTAATGATATAATTATTTAAAATATAAATTTTCTAATATTTAATATGCTTTTAATTTAAAATTTTTATTTACCCGATCGTGCAACTCAGTCATCTCGTGTCTCACTGAGTAGCTACATAAACTCCAGGGTTATCACGTATCTTTTCTTCATTATTACGAGCAAGCAAGGGCAACCGACTCATTCAATTGAATCTTGCTCATCATCTTCTTTAGTTCCACAAACAGACGAGGGAGAACGAACCCAATTTGTTTGATTGAAGCTTGCTCGCTCGTCGTCTTCTTCATTTCCACAAGCAAGCAAGGGAATCTGACTCCTTCGATTAAAGCCTGTGTCTGCTTTGTCGAAGGTATCTCACCATCTTCTTGATTTCTACTCAATTACCCCATATATCGCCTTCTTTTTCAAAGGTATCTCATTATCGTTAAGTAACTGCATACACTCTCCTCTAGGGTTCGGCAGCATCAACATTGATAAAGTTCATCGATGAGAAGGTGAAGACCTCGCCCCCAATTTTTGCAGGCGGGGGTGTCCATCTTCACTGAAGCACACGTCTGCTGTGTCAAATGTAAGCGATTTTTTTTCTTGCTTCGATTATACTAAAAGTAATTTTATGATAAATTTTAATGAACATTTTTTATATGCAAGTCAAAATCCACAACTGTTATACCATGACTTTGTGATTGAGGCATGCAAATTTTGATTTTTTAGATAATGATTAGATGGTATGAAGATTAAAATTTTGCATAGAATGTTTTAACACTTAAAGATTCCTTACAATGGTTAGTTGGAAGGCTAATTTGTAGCCAATTGTACCCTTTTTTAAAGCTACTGACTATTTAGATTTTGCATTATATTTTGAGTCTAATATTTGACCCTACAATTTGTGTCAATCCTTTAGTTCAGTTTTAGGGGTGCTCAACATGTTTTATTAAAAGTACTTTTCTTTCGTCCATTCCTTCAATTTTTTAAAAGGATAATGAGCTATAGTGACGGTGATATTGGGAGTGGTGATGGTTTAACACAGCTTGATATTAAAGACAATAACCTTTGTAGAGTCATGTATTAAAAAAACCTTCTAAATATGGTGATAATATTGCATTCAACTGCAATTACTATAATACCACTTATAAAGGAGCATACGTTACCGTTAAAATTCATTTGTTAAAAATTGTTGATTATAGAATTAAAATTTGCCCTCAAATTAGTTCTTCACGGTTAAATGAATAGCAAAAAAAAACAAGTGAAGTTGAGTCAAAGTCCCAAGGATCAGAAGAGCTCTTCTTAAAGAGGTCCATAGCCAAATACCCATGGTTCATGTTCTTCCTCATCTTCTTCTATTCGAGTTGATGATGTTAATGACTATAAAGTATTAAATAGTATGGATGGATACAAACCAAAGAAAAAGAAAATTTGTTACAGATAGTTCTTTAAAGAAAGCATTTAATTTGCAAACCAAAGAGCAACTAGGTGGAGAAATGGCCATAATGTTTTATTCAACTAAGCTTCCTTTCAACCTTGCAAGGAATCCACATTACATAATGTATTTATTTTTGCTTGAAATAACAATCTTACAGGTTACGTGTTACCAAGTTACAATATCATTAGATCAAAGTTACTACAAAGGGAGAGATCAAACATTGAGAAGTTACTTAAACCAACAAATGGAGTATAAAAGGAGAAAGAAGTTAATTTGATTTGTGATGAGTGGATCGACTCTCAAAGAAGATCATTCATCAATTTCATGGCTATAACAAAGAATTATCTCATGTTCATTAAAGTTGTCAATTGTGAAGAGGAATATGAAGACAAATCCTTTATTTCCAATTTGATCAAAGAGTTAATCATAATTGTTAGGCCTTTAAATGTCATTTAAGTTATCATTGATAATGCACGAATTTGTAAAGTAATAGGTCTATTTGTGGAGCAAGTATATCCTCACATTTTCTAGATATCATGCATTGTGCACAATCTCAATCTTGCTTTAAAAATTATTTGTACAGCTAAGAATACTGAAGCAAATGAAATAACTTAAAATGAATATCATTTGACCACAATGATTACATGAGATGATGGATTAGAAATTTCATAGTGAATCACTCTATAAGATTTTCAATGTTCAATTTCATAGTGAATCACTCTATAAGATTTTCAATGTTCAATGATTTCTAAAATTTGAGAATGCTTGTCTTAGCTTAAACTCATTTTTCTCATTATATTAATGTTGAGAAAATTCAAATCAATAAAAAATGACTTTAGGCTATGGTGATAGATGAGAAATGATCTTATTATCTAGAGGACGTTGTTGGAAAAGAAAAGTATATAAAAAAAGATATTATATGATTTATGATGGAGTGATATAGACAACATTTTTAACTTTTATTGATCCAAGTTATGAGATGCTATAAGTGACAAACAAAAATAAGTTATATTTACATTTGATTTATGAGATATGGGATTCCATGTTGACTAAAATGAAAGAGATAACATATAAACATAGAAGAAAATCACATGATGAAGACCCAATTTTCTAGAGTGTTATTTATACTATTTCAAATGATATGTGGAGCAAAAATAGCACACATCGACATTGCTTGGCTTAATCCATGGTAAATTTTAATATATCTTTCATAATTAATTCTCGATTTGTTCAATAGTAACTACCTAATTTTTTTTTTTATAATCATTGAAGATATTCAAGTAAAGAATAAGTTAAAGAGAACCCTCAATGAATTTCTCCTCCAAAAGATTTAAAATTTTCAATTATGAGGAAGGCATGCTTGAAATGTTATTTCTCAAATAAGGAGAAAAGACGAATGATTAATATAAAACTTGCTAAATTCTTTGATTATTTAGAGGACTTTGGTGACAAGAGTCTTTCCATGTTAAGCTGAGAATGAATCCAAAAATATGGCCGATTGATTCAAGGAGTTTCAGCACCTATACCTTAAACAATTATCATAGAACTTCTTAGATAAGTTTCATCCGCTTTTTATTTTGAGAGAAATTGGAATACATACGCATTCATTCAATCAATAAAAATGAACAAAATTACTTCACAACGATCTAAAGATTTATTTTGTATACATGCAAACCTTCATCTCCTATCAAGAGAGACTCCAATTTATATGGAATGAGATAATAAGAAGTGGAATGTTGTTGGAGATGGGTTTGAGTCTCTTGATGATATATGAGTATAGAGATTGCAAATCTTTCTCTTGATGAGCCAAAATTAGAAGCAATAATATTTAATGATAATGATATTACAGGCCAAAGATAAACACTTGAAGAAACTAATCCTATCATTCCTTAGTGAATAGTTGAAGCTTGATGTTATACTAGATAGTTTATGTTTATTTGTAATGTTATACTAATCATTTTATGCTTAGTTTCTTTGATATTATAAGCCAGACAACTAATTATGATGTTGATTTATCATTTACTTGTCATTCTTCATAGTATGCTTATTCTTAATATTATGTTTTCTTAATTTTTATGCACTATTTAAAAATTATAGTGTCATGAATGTGCCGTATTTGTGTCCTATATTTTTAATAATTAATGAGTCTAGTGTCTGTGTAGTATCGTGTCCGTATCAATACAACATAGGGCTATACTGCTACATTTGATGAACACATCCTAAGGAAGCGAGTACAATCTGTCAAGTCGACCACAATGACACTCAAGTGTACGGTTCCTTCATCTGTGAAAATATTACTTGTTTCTCTTGGATTTTGAATGCAAATTTTCTTGTTCTTCCTCTCATCTCTCTTGTGTTGATTTTTGTCGTGGATTTGGAAGAGAAATTTCTTCTTTGGAAGAGCATTAGGGCAAATCCTAACTTGGGAACCCTAAGGCGTATCAGGTTCCTTCATTTGTGAAAATATTAATCGCTTATTTAGCCATTCATCCACCAATACAAGCTAAGCCATCAACTTATTATTAGCTCAGTGGATCCCTAGGATTGGGGTTCCTTTAGCTTGTTTCTTTCTCTCTTCTCACTTTTTCATCATATTTTATCTGCTAAAATCTTATAGCTCTAATAGTATGATTCTGACATCATCCACAAATAAATTTGGATTCAACACATACTACTACACCTACCAATACAATATTAAAAATTAAAAGGCAAAATAAAAGTTGCAGTATATAATCAATATTAGTAACTTGTGGGTGTTGTTTAAAGCATCCAAATCAATTTATGAGATAAAACAGCAATAAATAACAGCTAAAATAAAGATGGAACTGCTGAAATGTTGCCCATGCACTGCCACAATCCTAAATAAAGAGTATCACTAGCAAGTTTGCAAATGCTGAAGACTAAACAATTGATGGCATCACGTGATTTTTTGCAAATGAGCACATTAATTCAGACATATTTGCGTTGTTGCTCACTAAATCTGTTACTCTCCAAGATATTCCATGCTGAACTAAATGACATGTTAAAAGTTTAAGTGGTATTTAAAACAGATAAATAAATCCTCATTAAACATCCAGTAGAGGTACCAATGTGGAAACTGAAGCATTGGATGTTCATGATAAGCTTACCTAAGATAAGAATTAATAATTCAGTATTCACTGGTGTTAAAATAAGCATTAACATCAGCCAAAAAGACCTTCATGATTTGTGTAACTAAAGAAAAAAGATGCAGACGGTACCTAGCACTTGTTTAGCTATTAGCCTTTTTTTTGGATCAGGCTCCAGCATCTGGCGGACTAGATCTTTTGCATTTTCTGAAACATTTGGCCATGGTTCTCGCTTAAAATCCAAATTTCCACGGAGAATTGCTTGTGCGACTCCTTGTTCAGTTTCTGAAATTCAGATAAAATAAACCATTCTATAAGGAAAATGGATATTATTTTTCAAAAAATTGATGAAAAAGGTAATAATGTCATATGCACCGAAGATAAGAGCTACTAAGACACTTTACCAGCCCAAAATGGTGGAACTCCGCATAAAAGAATATAGAGAATGACTCCAGCGCTCCATATGTCTATTTCTTGTCCGTAATTCCGTTTAAGAACTTCAGGAGCCATGTAATATGGACTTCCCACAATTTCTGAGAATCTTTCACCTGACAAATCACAATGAAATTTGAGGTTATAGAAGAAACTTTCACGGGAAGCATCCTAAACAATAATACCAAGATGCATGCATAAGAATCAAGGAATCATTACCTTTAAAATATATAAATGAAGTAGCATTGCTGTAAATACTGCTCTTAAAAAACAAATGTTCCTAACAATATGATGAGGACATCCAACCATGAAATTTTATCAGAGGAGCCGAAGATTGACGGTCATGATTGTATCACTTTATTTTGAGTTATTATTTGTATTTTGATTTATTTATGTATTTTTTCGTTTTTACCTTCACTTGAGGGAGTAGATTTAGGTGACCCCATGGGCACTTTTGTCATTTGTCTTATTATTGTATTTTGGCTATTTATATCTCCCTATATCGGTGGAAAAGAAGGGGATGGATGATTATTAAGAGAAAATTTTGCACTTTGTTCTTAAGAACTTTGAGAGTTCTTATAAGAGTTGAAGTCCCTAGGTGAGTGCAATGCACTACCCACCAGCCACAGGAAGCATCCGGTCTCGTGGTTTGAAGTCCCTAGGTGAGGACAAAGTATTACCAATCAGCCGCAGGAAGCGTCTGGGCTCGTGGTTTATCTTCTCCACCGACTCCATCTCCTCCTCCCCTAGCCACCACCTTCAACTCGCTCTGATACCATTCCTCTTCCCTCACTCCTTCCCCACCTCTCGGCCCAACCACCTCCACCAAGCCGACGGCCTCCACTTTCCTTAACCTTTGGCCGAACCCTTCCCCCACCCAACCACCAGCCCCACTACCTTCCTAGCCGCCGGCCACCATCCCCCCTGGCTCCAAAATTTCAAAACCAAGCATTCATTCCTTTCCTAATTTAAATTCTTGTAAATTTTGAAAGTCAAAAGATTTCAAATTTAAATAATTTTGAATTTGAAATATCTTTCCTAAAAAAAATAGTTATGTTAGGAAAGCTCCTCCAATGATGCTATTTGATATTCAAATAGATAATTACATTGATTTATTTCCCTAACTAGTATTCCAAGATTAGCAAGTCATTAAACACCCCACCTCTCCCCTTTGATTTCATTTTTTAAATTTCAAACATAGCCACTACTTTCCATAATCATCGCATTTTAAATTAGGAAAGTTTCAAATCAGATTTTAATTCACTCAAAATCTGAAATCTCTTTTCTAAAATAACATGATCTATATTAAGAAAACCTCCCCCAATCATGCCAATTTGAATTTAATGGGAGATTGGCCTTAATTTCCCCACCCATAATTGATAGCCTAGGATTGGCAAGTCATAAAGTACTTCAATCAAGTCCCCATCAAAGGTGTCGGCCCCTCCCTGTCTCCCTTTCCCATTTTGTTACTCCAAATTAAGTCTCTCAATTAATTACTCCAAATTAACTTCAGATTTGGGATTTGATTTATTTCATATTTCTTTAATTGAGAGATCATAATTGGCAACTCTATTAAATCAATAATCCCATCCCAATCATAGCTAGCTTGGTTCTACATCACAATATCTTTTGTTGAAATAAAATATAACCTAAAGAAGAATGAATATTAACTGTATAAAGTGATGGATTTCAATTCCAAAGTAGTTGCATTCTCTGATGTTGCATTACATAGAAGAGCAGAGCAGTAGTATCCGCATGCATGAAAGGTATTCAGCGTGTGCTGCAAATGAGGATCTAATAGTACAATAGGAAATGGTGCTGGATACAAGCTATGTTAAAGCAGTTTTCCTCAGATTACAACAATAGCAATTTCATGATTAACTCATTTTTCAACATGATGAAGATAATGACCAAATAGTTCAAATTTTCAAGTTATATAGGTCATAAATGTTTCTGCATCGACAGGAAATGCCACAACCTTTTATCCATGCATAATACTAGCAAGTAGTACAATCTCCAATTTTCAATAAAGCTTGTAATTGACAGCATGCCCATGATCATTTTTCTCATTCACATTTGTTCGTCTAAAACAATTCAACATATGCTACAGAAAATCATCATCCAAAAATAGAACATCATCTTGTATGTCTTTTTAAAAATCTCCTCTGTGGTTCGACCATGCATTTTTAATAAGGTTTCCACATGGCTAGCTAAAAAAATAGAAATATTATTCCAAAATCAGCAAACAAAACCAACTAATAGCATATACGCATATACATATATATGTGTATATAAATTTGGATTAATGGATCCGAGTCGGGTGTGATGCAAAGTTGACCCGACTTGAATATGCTTGATCCTAATCCAAACCATTTTATATGGGTTAAAATATTTAAGCCCGAACCTGACTAATCCAAACCTGGCTCGTGGCCTATTTATTTTAGGGATCTTACATTTCTTAGATCAACACAACTTATTTAACTTAAAAATGACATGTTTAATCCAAACCATACTAGTTCAACCAAAACCCGAATAGTATTAGTGTCAATTTCAGATTTGGGGTCAGCTCAAATCCGATTCAAAAATTTTTAAGTAAAGATTTCAAAATCCAAGCCAACCCAAAACCAAAATTTTCAAGTCAAACCCTTGTCTGATCATATATATATATATATATATATATATACCCACACACATATGTGCATACGCGCACATATAAAAATAAACAGCATGGGAAAGTACCCACATGGCTTGGATTTGGTTCATAACTACATGCAATCTGACAAATTTACTATGTTATGATAGTTTTTCATCACACTTTTTTTTAATCACACATTAAATAGGGGTGGAACCACATTGGAGTGAGGGTAAGCAATTTTAAGGAGTTTTTCCACCCTGAAATTACAATTTTACTCAATCATCACCAAAAAATGCCCATCCCTAACTCTCAATATACTAGTTAATTAACTAAAATAAAAGCCCATAATTTCCATATACTTGTCTATTCAAATTTTCCTCTTATAAGTTATAAGTTTTGTGGTATTATCTTACTGGCTGTTTGAATTTTTCTCAAGGAATACTAATTTGTGTTTTTTATTTTATTATTATTCTTACCATTATTTAAGTATTATATTATGAATTACTTAAAATTTTCCAACCCTATAAAAAGGCACTGGTTCCACCCATGATAGTAAAGTCGTTCACATAACGTTAATAAAAATATTATGCATTGTGGCATTAAAAACTTGTACACCAATCTAGCACCCACAATCCTCATCCAAGTAATTCTAACTTAGGTGTGATTTCTCAAATTGAGCTACTTCAATGAGTTATCAATAGTTGCCTTTGTTAACGTGTAACATTAAAGAGAAAAGAAGTACATGCGCACACTTTATATATATATATATGTGTGTGTGTGTGTCTGCTTGAATATTTGTATTAATTACAATTTAAATTTGTGCTTTTTTTTTTCTTCTATTTCAAGTTTATGCTTCAAGCATCACTATGCCGCATAGGGTAGTAAGTCCAAAGGAGTGGACAATAAACACCAAGAAAGATATTCAGTTGTGTTGATTTTAAGCATTGAACCAAAAAAATAAAAAAAATTGCTCTTATATAACATTAACAAAGTTAAACAGAGAATATCAAATTTATTGTTCTTGCTTCTTCACAGCTTTTCTTCTTCCATTAGAAGCATTATAATGAGAAATTCTAATATAAAAATTCTAAAATTGAGCAACCTTAATGAAGAAGACATTAAATAAGAGATCATAAATCAAAAGTCTATTGCTAATGTTGATAACAAAAATCATTTATAAGATTCATAACTTTGACTTTAACTGTAAATACTCAATCAAGATAATCAAGCAATCTTTGATTATAAATAAGGCATAAAATTTCACTTCTTACAGAAGAAGAGTTGCATGCGAACAAGCAACATTACAAGTACATGTACATCAATAATGGATTAATTTAGATAGCCTTTAAACCACTTATTTTAAGAGGTTTAAATGCTTTTATTCTAGCATACCTTAGATACAATGGTGCTTTAATTGAACACAATCCCTCAAGGGAATCAATAAAACAAGCTTATACCATGGGAAGGAATATTTCAGTACTTCTCTAAACCTAAACATGTCTTTAACAGTTGTCACTCTGTTTAAAGTTGCTAAATTACAACTTAAACTTCATGTCTATGATTTTCCTCTAAAATCTAAAATTATAATTATGATATATCATAACCGTTATAATGTTATAAACATCTTTTGTTCTAATGTTTAAACATAGATTTTTCCTAGTTTATACAACTACACTTATAGAAACAATCTCTCAGCTTCGCATATAGAGACTAAGAGAGTAATTATGTGGAAGAAAATTACATTCCCAGCCTCATGGATCCCTAGATCAGTCAATCAAGAAGTTGATTAAACTATTCAAGTTTCCAAAGGAAATGTTGAAATATGATTTAACCCTATGAGGTCAATTACTATTCCTAAAACTTATATGATTTTGATAACTCTTTAGGATCAGATCACACATTTATCTGCCTTTCACAAACTTCACTCTTATTTATAGATCTAGCAGGAAATGGATTTCAAAACTATACAATGTAACAAAATAGGGAAGGAATATTTTTCCTTATAGCCAATGCTTGGGGAATCAACTTAGCTAAATGCTTTTTGGTAGCCATATACTAAGGTCAGTCATTATTGTTAGGGTTGTTGATGCCTTTATCAAAAGATGAGATGCTGGTGCGCTAATCTCTTAAAAGTGTTCGATTTCTGTAACATGCGATTTGCTAGTGGAGCGGAGGACAAAAGTATGCAAGCCCAGTGATGCCACTGCAAGACAGAGGATGCCAGAGGTTTTGATCAACGGAGAGTTGACCGGAGTTAGAGAGACCAGTGGTCGTCCTGCGATCTTCCACGATCCTGTAGGTTGTTGCTCTTCGATGACGTCTGCCAAAGTAAAGAGAATGCGCTCCACGTATTCTTCGACGGTGCCTTCGGACCCAAATCCGGGATCGAAGAACGGTGATTGAATGATGTTGACTTCCTCTCGAGAATTGTAAACGAATCCATGATCAACTTTCGGATCCGCCATTCATTCTTGTCGGGAGATG